ATGCATATTATGTTCTATTAAGATCTTAAGGTAGCAATAAGAAATTACTAACCGAATTAGTTATTTAAAAAGGTGGAATAATGTTGTACCAAAAATAACTTTAAATTATTCTTTTTATAAGAAAGATTGCAAAATGGCAACAGGTCGCCATATGTATCTATCTTTCTTATCCTGGCATGGTTTATAAATAGACTCTGTATTGATACAATGTTGTTTTGTTAGATGTTACTGAACTTCTTTTATTTTGAAGAAGTTATAGGAATTCTGAAAAATCGTTTTCGAAGAAGAAAATTATCTAGGTGTAGAAAGAGCTAAAAATTTGGAGCAGGAGCAATATAATAATAAAATGTTTTTTTTAAGACAGCTGATATTGTATTCTAAATATTAACAATTCGTCCAAAAGGTTTACATGAGAATCTCAATTTAATATTTCACCAGTTTAAAGGTGATCCAGCAATATTTTTTAAGGCATATATCCAATGTAAGAGCTTGCGGTGATGAAGCTCCGTCACTGGAATTCACTGGAATTTTAAAATTGTACAGTTTTAAAAATTATATTTTAATCACAACACCTAGTAGTGACAAATTATTTTCTTGAATAAAGAATAAAAATTTGACCAGAAAATGTAATTGGTCATGATAGACTTAGTACAGTTGCTATAATTTCTTTTCAATGCAAATATTAAAATTGATTCAAAACAAATGACTAGGTCTTTTATGAAAAAAAAAAAATTATATATAAAAAGGACAAGATATCACTGATTTTTAAAAAAACTAATCTCGATTAAGAGGGCGAGCCTTTCATGCTTGACCGATCGCATCAATCGTCAAATATCTTCTTCGGTGCAAACAGTTTTCTAATCAAATAATTTGTAAATAAACCATGTTATTGAAATTACTTAACATTTAGATCATATGATGATTAAGACCTTTAACTGAAGGTCTTAATCAGGTCTGACCTGAAGGAGTCAAACACCAGATTTTATGATAATTCAACAGACCAAGTTGGTATTTGTGAATTGTGGTTTCAATAACAACCTGAAGGAGTCAAACACCAGAATTTATGATAATTTAACCGACAATGTTATTGTTTGTGAATTGTGGTTTCAATAACAACTAAAGTCATTGACAGTCAAACATTTCAATGAGAGAGAAGAAAAAAATACGCTTTTCGTGAATGGATGAAGGTTTCTCAGGTTCACATTCGTACAGCGTACGACTTCTTTGTTGACGGACTAAGAGTCATAGTGCGTGCTAAGGATGACCAAAACTAGAACTTAAATTCAAAAAATTTAATTATTTTTTAATATTTTCTTTTTATTCATTCATAAAGCTCAATTCTAAATACAAAAAATACAGTATAATTAACAATTCAAACTCTATTAGTCAATCCGGTATAAAAATAATTGAAACCACATATTCATTATACAGGTGCAGGAATATCTACAAAGAACCGAATCGAAATTTAATAGGCGGTGGATAATTATAAAAACACCAATAGTTTAATAGTGGCACCAATTTTAATTTCTTTAATTATTAATTTATTGTTAGACAATTGTTTATGCAAAAATAATTACCGAGGGACGGTTAAACCGATCAGTTATTATTATATCCGATCTCAATGATGAATGATATTATTTTTATTTCATCTAAGGGAGAAGATAGTGGATTACATTAATAGCACTGCTATTGGTATATAAGAATTCTTACTCCGCCACGGATCTATATGTACAGCTCTATTTATTATCTGTAATCATTTAATTAATCATTTGAATAATTTTATATCTTTAGATCTAATAATTATTTATATGTGAAAAACATAAACAGCTTCACTTTTACTAAAATTTCTAAATTACATGTTTTCTTATTAGTTTCTGGAAAAATGTACCAACTTTAAACACTTCTTATTAAATCTTCACTAAAGTCCTAGTTATAAAACAATAATAATCCTAATCTTAAAACCTTATCTTAAAAAAGTTTTATGGCCAAGGTTTTATGGATTTTCTGTCGGGTTTGGTTTCAGCTGAGTACGTTCATTGTTGCTTTTCTATAAGCAACTACTCTAATTATTCGAAGCATTTAAAATATTAATCATTTTTGTTCAGTCTTCACTTTCTAATATATAATAGTTTATATTCGGTAACTTTGGCCATATTCCTACGAAATAGCGAATATCTTCGAGTTCTCCAATGTTTCACATTCGGCAGACCCTAGTTCGTGTTTGGTTTAGTATAAGTCCATTTCAATATATTCAATAATAACGCACTTTACTAATCTAGATGAAGACTGTCCAGACAAGATACGTTCGCGGGCGAATAAAAATTACTGTGCAGATTGGAGAGCCGCAGGAACAAGTTTTTTTGGAGATATGGAGACAATGCTAAATTTAGTTTCATTAATTTATTCATTTGAATTTTTTTGGGATATGGTATCCAAATAAAACAAAATAATTTTACCAAAATATATCAAGGAAAAATTTATGTATATACGCATATATATTATCCGCGGGCCGCATTTTGTTCTTTTAATTAAATTAAATTGAGAAAATTGGATACTTGTCTTTGGATTGACTATCATATAGATTAGCTAACTTTTTACCTGATTTTCAATAGTTTCATTTTCTTTTGTTTTATTGGATTTAGTAATAATTCTGATTTTATTTTTATTCCAAATTTGTGGAGTCATATCCTCATTCCAAATTATCTTATCTCGTCAACTTAGTGGATTTAAGGTTATTTTCTCAAAATATTTCATTTTTAGGTATATGTTTTGACTGAAAATTGGACAATTTGTACTCGTCATATATGAATAAGATTTCATAGACGTATTTCTCAAAAGCAGATCAAACGAATATAAGTGATTGTCTTGAAAACAGATTTCTAATGAAAGCGTATAAATGGGTGTTTTTATTGGAAATTCAAATATTTTTTCAAGAAGTAAGTTTGAAAAGAATCTAGCTCACTAAAGTATCCAGAACTTCATATTTGAGCACATTAATCAGACTCACTTTGCTTCTCTCCTTCAAGCAATTTCTATTTTAAATTAAGTTATGTACTATTTTTACTTTTCTATTTAACATTTATAGTGTTGAACTGATTTAAGTTTTAGTAAATTTTGTAATTTTAAATATTTTATCTTTAAATGTCTACATTTCACCAGCATGTAAACGCCCACCTTTAGTCAAATAAACTTCCATTTTTCACTATTCGTAGTATGGCTTTAAGCGGTTAATCATATTTTATGAAACTTTAGCATCTTCTGCTAATGTGATGGTATCATCTGCATAAAGAATCATACAACATTATGTTCTTCAGCGTTTAACCCGCTTTTTAAATATTCGTGAGATCATTTATATGTATTCCCCGCTAATACCACGGTGACAGGAGACAAGCTTGTTGCATTCGGTACACCTTTTAAGAAAAAATGATAATTCCCTAAATATTCAAACTGTCACTTCAATTTTACTATATATATTTTCCAGAAACCTTAGCATCTTTGTAAGTCAATTCAAATATATGTAATTGGATTATAAGAGATTTTCTGCAAATTTGATCAAAAATAAAGTGTCATTCTTTAATTTTTAATTGCACAATAGAGAACAACTCATATATATTATCCGCAGTGGAGTATTCTGCTCTAAAACCTGCTTTATATTCATTCCGAATATCATTTTACATAATATATTTTGTTAGTCTTTTCGTTAGAATGCTGGTTATAAACGACATTAGTCTTTTTAATATATTGACAATAAAATACTTAAAAGGAAAATATATTCTAGTACACGACGACTAAGACTTAACTCACTTTTCGTCACCTAAGAGGTCTACCAACTGATTTGGAGTATTATAAAGAATATAAAGAAGTCATATAGAGTATTGTTCTCAACTGGTGCATTGGGCAAGTTAAAATCTGCAAAAAAGAGTTGTATTTCCTGTTATTCTGTACACTCATCTATATACTGATTATCTATTAGTGCTCATGCGTATATTATGTGAGGAGCATAAGACTTTTATGTGAAAGTCTTATGCTCATAATTTTTTCCTCTCCTTGTAAATAATTTCCAATATTTTATGATTTGACGTAATTAAATTAACATGATATATTGAGTTTATAGATATGTTTGTAATGCAGTGAAGATTTCAAAGACCATATAAACAATATTTGTTTTTATTCATTGTGATAGAATTACTACAAACTATGTTTATATGTTACTATATAAATACATATATACATATAAAACTTTATTTTTAATCAAAATAGCTCAAGTCAAGAAATTGATACTGATATATTGATGGAGTTAGACTTCCAAACATGTATTCAAAATATTTTACATAAAAAAATACATTAAACATACAAATAATATATAAAATGTGTACTGTACTTCATACCATCTTCATACACTAAGATCATCACCTACTGCAACGAACGACTGTTTATTCGTTCTTTGGTACATAACTGATTCTAACTACATGTGTGTAGGGTATTGAAAGTTTGAGAGACATAATTTTTGTTTAATTTTGCGGTTTGTAATAATATCAGTTTATTTAAAACTGACTACTTTTTATTATTTTTTGTTACTATAACACATGCAAAAAGTATTAAAAGTTTTTCACAACCTTTCCATGCTATTACGTTAATGATAATTTAAATGTCAATACATAAACTGAATGCAATTAACTTTTGTGAACTGTACTTTATTCTAAACTGCGTTTTTAATTAATTAATTAAAAAAGTAATTAATTTAAAACAATAATAATTAGTTTAAAACAATAATAATTAATTTAAAACAATATATTATTCAATAAAATATAAACACTCCGAAAATCGATTTGTTTTAAACACATTTATTTCAATAAATTAAATTCATTTATAAAATATACCTAAATTCATCAGTTTATCATACAAAATTTTTAAGTATTCCGTAAAATTGTTAAACAATTGAATTTTGTGCTTAAAGCATTAAAGAAAAATTAATTTGACATTAGTTACATATATAAAATTATTTAACAAATTCGTTGAGGGATTCTTTTTTCTTTAAGTTACACTATATTATTTTTCTAGCGAAAATATTATGTGTAGACGCATAACAATAACTAGTGAACAAATAAAAGTGGCAAAATATAATAACCGAAATTAATAAAAATTGTCTATTCACTTATCCTTTTTCGTTTCTGTAATTGTTTCAGAGGTCTTTTCATCTTTTTCTTCATCAATATTTAGATCCTCTTTTAGTTTTTCACTATTTAAGTCTGGTAAATTCTCAGTCGGGGATTCTGCAGCAGTTACTTGAATTGTCGGTGCTTTAAACTTAGATTCGCTTTCAGTATCTACAAATGTTTGTTTATTATTACATATAATATTTATAATAAAATTTAGATTTATTTTATGTACCGCTTTCACCTGAGCTTGAGGATTCGGAGCTAGTTTTCTTTATGCTGAAATTACCGATGGGATGTGTTTGCAAACGTGGTGCTGCTGGTCGAGATTTTCGAGATGGATTTAAGCTATGGCAAAACGCGCAACGAAATGTTACATAGTCAAATTCTTCCTTAAGCGCCATACCTAAATATAAAATAAATAACATTTTATTACTTTTATTTTATAATATAAGCTTCACTGAACATTTCATTTAAACTGTACCATTATGAGCGTAACATTTTTTGCAAATCATTCCAAATCTATCTTGAGGGCCATCACCTACTAATAGATCCACAACGCGTTCAAATGCACTTTTATTCTGTTGGTTGACAATAGGAAACGGCGTACGACGGAAAGTTGACACAGCAAGTGGTGTTTGTGGTGATAAATTACCACGTATAGATGTATTAGCCACATTCCCGCCTGATTGATATTTAGACAATGTTGTTGATGAGTTCGTAGCCGATAAGTTCATATTTAAAGGACTGAGTTGAGTAAGAGTACTCATAGTTATGCCTTTGCCTGTTTGATTTAGATTTGTCCCTGGGCTACTAGCAATACGTGGCGTCGTAGCTTAAAGTAGAAAAGGGAATATATATTTATTTAAAAAATTTTATTTAATTTGGTTAATTTTCTCACTTAGCGCATATTTCGCTGGACCAATCTTATCTCCAAAACGCTGTAATAAGCCCAAAGCAACCTACATAAGACAATCCATTATGAATCATATTAAACGCACAACAAACATTTTCATAGTACCTTATAGGTCTCTTTATCCATAACTTGCTCTAATATTATTTTTTTCTTGTCTCTTAACTCTGACAATTTTTTTGAATTTTTATTCAATTTACGCTGAAAATACCACGTAAACAGCTTGCGCAATAAAATAATGCTAAAAATAAGTATTAAAAACACAAAAATTAATAATGTATTACTTTTATAAAATAAATATATTAATACGTACACTAGGGGAAAAAGAAGCAATGGTATTGAGTATATGACGCGTTCTTTCCATGTCGGCGGAAAATACAAAAAGTAAAATACCAGAAATGCAATGACATAAATGCCAATTGAAATAGTTAAAAAATTAAATACAAAACGCCGCTTCTGATCTTGTGTATTTATTGTATACTTCTCAATTTGTTGGATTTCTTCTTCCAATGCTTCCAATATCTGCTCCGTAGACTTTTCTTTCTAAATATATAAAAAATTAAACACAATTATTTTATGCTAATATTTTTAAATATGTTAATTTAAATTACACGTTCATCAACTTACCCTGAACTTTGCCAAAACTGAACCCATAACGTATTTGCTACAAATAATCAGTCTAAACAAATTTAAAACAAACAGACATTCACTTTAAAAGACGACCATTACGTATTTAATACAAATTTTGCACAATATAAATATTGAGATCCGCACAATATTATTTACCTTATCCAAATCGGCAACAATAACAACAACAACCAACAAGTATAAGAAGCAAGAAGTATCAAAGCCAAAAAAATGCAGAAAAAGAGCAAATGACACAATCTCAAAAATATTTTTATGTACTTTACGCAGGGTTGCAATTCTAATAAAAAAAAAAATTTTTATAGCGCACAGCAAAAGCTACGTTTTTGTATTCTACATAGCCAGTAAAAAATTTAAACAAAACCTGTTGGTATTATTTCAAAATTTTCTGAAGTTTTATTAAATATATGGTAAATTGTTTTTAAGAATAAAAAATATTAATGTATTAAATGAATACTCAAGAGTAAAGTTATTTGATATGGTTTTATTGATTGACTAAGTGGTTAAGCTAATATGGCGTTTACATTGGCCGAAAATGTCTCATTTTGGTCAAAAATTGAAAATGAGAAGCGAATGGCTCATTCTTGCATACAAAAATTCAAGCGCGAAAATGAGCCATTTTCTCACATTCTGTATGAAAGACGTTCGAATGCACATATGTTCCAAAGGCAAAGAAATCCATTGAACATACCCTAAATGAAAGCTCTTCATGGCATTTTGACAGTTTGAAAAAGCTGACATATTTCCAAAAAAAGATAAACAAATGTTTGGTGGTTGCATTTTCTTGAAAACGATGCACTTCTTTTTAGAACTTTAACTTCCCAAAAAGTAATTAATCGAAGTTAAAAATATGTTTTAAGTTTATATTGTAAGGTTTGAAGGCATATTTAACCTTCATGCAATATTTTTTTAGCACAGGCCAAAAATCAAATCAAAATGCAAGTTAAAAAATCAGCTGTTTGAAATGAGAACAAATGAAATACAACTAATGTAAACACTTTCAAATGGCTCATTCAAAATGAGCTATTTTCGGCCACTGTAAACGCCATATAAGTTGGATTGAAGAGGCAGCCTTGTATACAAAAGCGTAATTAATCGCATATAATAACCCGTTGTGATTGTGTATTAACTAATAATATCACGTCAAAGCTGACATTAATTTATTGTAAAAGACTAATATATTATCAAAACCTTAAATTTTGTTGTTGTGCTTATATTTTGCAAATTGAACACAAATTGTTTTAAAAATAAAATATTTTGTTGAGAAAATTAAAAATTAATAAGCAGAAATAGTTGCTTTTATGAATATTTTCATGTTTATAATAAATTTATCAAAATAACATATGGATTATATAGGACCAGGTAATGATTGTTTGAAATTAAAAAGAAAAAAAAACACATACATATGTTAAATAACAGAATTGACTTTGATATTATTTTTTTTCTAGTAAACGAAATGCACAGTGTGAGATTTTGACCAACTAAAACCAACTATTAGGAATGCAAAATTGAAAAATTTCATCATTGGATCGTAAGGGTTAAAAACTAAAACTACATTCCAATAATCAAGGCAAAATCAAACATAAAAATACAGAAGGCTTAGCATTTAAACAACTTTTATATCATTTAAATATTTTTCTCTGCTTTCATTGAGTATGTTCAGTGTTTAGTTCATATAAAATCGAAATAGAACCCATTCTTTCAATGACAATAAATATAGTATTGTAATAAACCTTTACATTTAATCCCATTCATCTATCAATTAATTCCAAGCAGTGAAATGGCTGGGCGGTAAAAGATTTGAGTCGAATGAAAAAGTCATTGCCGTGCTTTTAAATTAGTAGTAGCTTATAAACTACAGCTTCATTTGGAAACACAAGTTCAACGAATTGAAAGTTAACTTTTTGAGTTCGCTGTTTTTATTTTCAAAACAGCGTTGTATGGTCAGCCAAATTTCAGTAAAATTAAAATAAAATGTTTGTGTTTGTCCTTTTTTTCTTTCTTTGCTATTCGAAAATTCTCTATATTCGTTATTTCAATTTGATTTGCTGTCAAGAACGGGATGATGCGACAGCTGTAGTTAGGAATAAAATTGTTGTGTGAATAATCTATTATTATGGGTCCAAAAATAATAATTTTATTTTAAATGTCAAATGTTCTAGTTGAAAAGAAATATATTAACAACACTTTCTTAATTTACAAATACAAACAGTAATTTGTATTTAGCTTTTTACTCCTTTGTTTGGATTTTTGTTAATTTTTTTAATGGTATTTAACATCAAATTCTAAATATCACATGATTACTTAACAAGCGAAAAGACTTTCGGTTTGAATACTATACAATCCCAATAAGAGCGAACAAAATCAAAACGAGTATTTTGTGTATAAATATAGAAGCCTAAATTTATGTTTACACTTGCTAACTTATTTCAATAAAAACTAGCATTTATTGCTGTACATATGTCGACTTAATTACGATAGTGTAAATGTTCTATTATGCGGTGCTATTACTCATGAGCTAATTATTGTAGATAGACTTTAAAGTATGCATCATAAATCTGTTCGTAATAATTACAATAAGCTATATACGAGTACTTAAATCTATTAACTGAAAAATATATTTTTTAAAAATATTATGTTTCATGTAGAAGTATAATTTACCTTTGTGCAGTAGCATAATTAATATCAATACAAATTAAATAAAACATTTTTCTCAGTGTACCACCTTTTTTTGAAAATGTGTATGTGTGTGTGGTTCTTGTTATTACGGTTTTTGATTCTATTTTGCTTAAAAAAGAAGAAAAAAGAAGTTGAATAAATAAAAACAAGAAATGGACGCGTACTCGCCGGTTCTTATTTGCAAATTTACCGGCTAATTGTGTACAAGTGAACAACTTTTTAATATATTAAAATAATTGTTAAATAAAAATAGAAAATCTTATTTGGTTATATCGTTTAAAAATATTTAACACTTGTTACGCGCTTGACAGGTAATTGAAGAAACTTTTGCTTTACAGCAATGTAAATAATATAATCTCTATGGAAAAATTTTGTTTGCGTATATAATCTTTTATTTTATATTAAAAAAGTAAATTTTTCATATATTACTTGTATTGTAAAAAAAGATTAAAATCAATATTATTGTCAACAACAACAACAAAATTTTGATTGTAAGTAAATGCACTTTATTTGGTCCGCTTGGATACTGATTGGGATTGAAGTGTTGTGATTTTATTATCAGTGCGCGTCATTGAGGTAAAGTATATTTTTGCAATTGATTTGTAAATAAATATTTACACTTTACAAAATACAGGGCAAGAAAACATATTTTTGATTTTCGAATTAATTAAATCAGTTGTAAAACTATAAAAGAATATAAACTAATATAAATTAAGCACAAAAAATCTTATCTAATCAACTACGCTAAAGACCCTGTAATTTATAATAGTAAACAAAAATTAACTAACAACACACATAGATGGGTCTCGCCTGTTTCCAACGGTATTTAGTCGTGAGCTGCAACTGCAACGTAGTGGGTCGATTTTACTTACGTGTTTTGCAATATTGTTCTGTAAATAAAATTGAAGAAAAATTTTTAATTAATTATTGTACAAATTCTATATTCAAAATGAATAAAACTGCACTCAATACTGATGAACTACTTTTTGAAGAAAAGTCTTTATATGTTCCAGAATTAAACGAAATTAAAGATGGTATTTATGCCGTACAAATTTTTCATTCATTCACAAATTTTTCTTTTTTATTTATTTTTATTTCTATTTTGACATTCTTCATGCAAACAGGTTTTTTGACAGCATAAAAGCTTTTTTCACCTTAAAGCTTTCAGAGATAAAACAAGATAATAAAGCTTTTACAGTGGCACAAAATACTTAAATCAAAAAATGTTAAAAATATTCTGTTTTATTTAAAGTTAACGAAATTTAAATTTTTTTTTTCAGTTATTCAAGGTGCGCTCTTGAAAAACTTTGAATGCGTTAATGTGGAGGTAACAGAATGTCCGAATTTAACTGCACCGCAATATGGTTTAATGGATTCAGGTAACTACTGTAATATATTATTTATTTTATATAAAAATAATTTGAGCATTTAAATCTTAATAGGCTTGGGTGGTTCTCCACTTTTGTTGGAACTCGGCGGTCCACCATATCTTTTACCAACTGTACAACGTTCGAAACTTTACGATATCAAAGAAATCTCTCAGAAATGCTTGCCAGATGCAAAAAAAATTTTAGCGATGGGTGCTGGTGCTGGACCTCATCCATTACGTAATTCAAATTGTGAGGGTATTTTCAACTTAAGTGTAGCTGCTGATGGCACTGTAAAAAATGGTAGTTACACTGCAAAAGTGAGTGGTCCTAAGGAGGAATGTGTACTCGAACGAATTCCAAATGATGAACACCGATGTGCACTTCTACTAAATTTGTTTGTATGCCGAGGAGAGTGCGGAAAAGTGATCAAAATTAACTGTAAGAAACGTTGTGGTAGTTTGAATTTCATTGAATCCATACGCTTGGGTCTTGAAAATAAGTATAAGGAAAAATGTGTCGGTATGGGTGGCATATTCTTGATAAAGAAAGGCAATGTTCATCAACACGTTATGCGCGATTTTAGTAAAACTCCATTAAACTCTGAAGAGGAATTAAATAATTGGCTCAAATTCTACAATATGCCAGCGCAGTTAAATGCTGTGGGAACACTCATAACACATGAAAATGTAAGATATATTGGATATATTATTAATGGCTATTGTTGACATGAATCTGCTTAACATTGCAGGATTTGGATCTGAGATTACAGCACTTCCATTCATTTTCAAATTCAAATTGGGGTGGTCACTACCATTACGACACTACTCCTGATATTGTTGAGTATGAGGCTTATCTTAATGTCGCTGAGCGTGTGGTGCGTGTGGATAAACCAGTTGATACTCATAAATTTGGAAGAGATTAAAAGGTTTGGTATACGATTTTATTTTTGGAAATAATAAACATTTATAAATTTTGACGAATTTTCAAATTTTTCTTATCTGCTTTATCAAATTAGTCGAAATAACTTCTGTATTTTAATGTTATTATGATATCACGTAAAGTAACTGACGTAGTTATAATTTTTTATACAATTTTAATATTTGTATAATAAGAAATTCTGTAAAGTTGTTGTGCTCTAGTAACCCGCTGGTCCCTTTGGAAAGTGTTGAACGGAACTTGGTTCAACTCCGTTCTTGCAATCATTTTTTTGGAATTTGAAAATACTGTCTATGGGTCAAAATATAGGATTGGGGTCAAGATCACCTAAAATGTATAAATTTTTTTTAAAAAAGTCGCTGAATGATGTATTAAGTAAAAATTTAAAAATATGGTTTATCAAAAGAATGGGTATTGTTGTAGTTCTTATTGTTGTAGTATTCTGAGAAAATCTTGACCTATCGACCTATGTACCTATCGAGCAAATAACATGAAAGGAATTACAAGTAACAATACATGGTTTAGGATGCTTGTAGGTGATGGTAGTATGAGTGAGAAAAGGATTGCTTAGCACCGATTGTGTGTAGGTTGGATTTTAAATTAAAATTAACCTACATTAAAGCGTCGAAACCTAGCAGCCACTTTAATGGCTATATATCTAAATCCTTCCCATTGTACTTACTTCCATTTTTTTTCGAATACACATATATTATATGTACCAGAAATCTCTTATCAACTGAATCACGTTTAAAAGATATGAGTAATTGGTCTAACAAACTTATTAGATACTATAAAAGGTTAAAGACAGATAGATGAATATTTAAAACAGCTTTTTATATTATTTGGTGATGAAATATTCGATCTATCTGTCTTTAACCTTTGAGTAGAAAAAGGTGGTTCCAGTAACTAAAAAAAAGCCAAGACATAAAATACTGAAATCGCATCGGATCAACATGAGTCCCTGGCTGTTTATTTCCCTCATACTAGTAACCCCCAAAGCATAATAGACCCTTTTGCTATGCCAATGTTATAATCTCTCAATATTATTCCGCTGTGTTTGTTTCAATGTTTTAAGACAACATTGCGAAAAATCACAACATTGGTTATGGTCTTTCTTCAATTAATGGTTTAATAAATATCTGATTGATTGTAAAAATCGTTAAAGTTAATATAATAAATATATAAAATGATTAAAGACTAACATCAATACTAATAGGAGTGCTTAAATAAACAAAGCTATCATTTGTGGTTTTGTAAATTTTAAACATGTAGATTTTAGAAAATAGGTCTATAATCATTAATAATTTCGGAATTCGTATTGTTGTGCTCGGTGATTACTATATAGCATACTTTTAGGATCAACTTTAGTTTTGAAGTTTTCTATATTTTTAGGAATAATGAAATTTCAGGTATGGTAGCTCTATGTTTTATCAAAATGACAATATAGTTATTATTTTGGAAAACATATAGTACACTGCGACTTAAAAGATCTATTGTGCCCCTTAGTCGGTTTAGAGTCCTTCTCCAAGTGCGATTTCTTTAATAAAAGACAGTCTTTCATTAAAGATGTTTTTCCTATTCTTGAATCCTTATTTTCCATAAAATACACTCCAAGGTGTTTCTTGCACTTGTGCATCAGTGCCGGGCACTCCTCTAGCACATAATATGAGGTTTCTCTACAGTCTGAGACTACAGTCACTCTCTACAGTATCTGTAGTCTGAGTTGTATTGGATTCCTTACTTTATTAGGTGATTATTCAATATACAGTGACCGGTTAGTAATCCCGTTATAATTCTTAGACTATTCTTTGTTTGTTTTACGCAATCCTTGAAGTGTTTTAGGTTGTAAGTCCCTGAAAGCATTTAAGATTATGACAATACTGTTAAACTCAAAGCAAGAACCAAGTTACGGCCATGTATTGATTTCGGAGAAATTGTTAGCCGTATAAAAAAAATTGTTAGCTGATACCTAAAGAAATGGAAAAAAAGTGATATAAAATTAATAATTAATAAACCATTAGCATAAAACATTGTCATTTGTTAAATTAATTGTTATTTGCTTTTTATGTTGTGGTATAAATGTTAATGTATACTTTTCTCTCCTTAAATACAATTATATATTGAATCTTATATTTCAGAAATATAAAGGACTTTACTCTATATGATATTCACGATAGTCTGCATATTTTCGACGGTATTTTTACGAATCAAGATTTAGCTCATTTGAGTTATATCTTACTATTAGAACAAAGATTACAAGGGATTATGTTCGATATCTTAGAAGATATTTATTATGACGGAATGAATCTTGTGGTTCGTACTAACTAATTTTCTCTATTAAAACTTATATTCAATTTAAACACTTCAGGTACCCAATCCTTTATTATAAGAAATGCATAACGATTGAATGTTCCAACTGTTTATAGGAAAATATAAACTCTCGCGTAAGGAGTCTATTGTACATCTGACAGCACAACAAGAGTAAAACTAATACTTAGATTGTCTCGAACTGTACTATGCTGAGTTATTAAATACTTAATATAACATATGTAATAAAAATAAAAAGTTTTTTTTTCACAATAATAAATAATTAATTATGAACATAATTTTTTATAGTGGATGGATGTTGTAGTGGGCGGAATATTATGAAACTCTTTCAATCTATGTGATATAGTTGACCATGTTTGGGCCCAAATTTGGATTCCAGTAAGCCGATTGGACGTACTCAATATACATTCAAAAAACAGCCCATCTCAAAAACAATATTTAAGGAAAAGTTCATTTTAATATCTTAATTGGTTCAGAAATTTGGTACCGAATTTTGATCGTCTAATTTTAATTCTAACATACTGTGTGGTGTAAGGGCAGTGGAGATTAGGGGGTGAAATCTTTGACGATATAATATACAGATTCTTTACTGCAAAAATACTGTTAAAAATATTTTCTTGAATATCACAATCTTACAGTTCAATACTTTTGTTGAGCACACTGAACCCACTCTGAGCTTTCATCTCTTACTTCAAAACTTAGAGAAAAGTTTTGGAAAAAATACAAAAAAAAATTGCTTTCCGTTTTTTTTTCTTATATATATATATTCTCTATATTCTGAAAATTAATGTTTAACATATTAACTTTTCTTAGACAATAATTGCGGATTCACACAGTATAAGCTCGTGTTTAAGGTGCTATAAATACATATTTAACTAAACTAGATTGCTATCGAAATCAGTCTACATTTTGGTATGGCATTGGCCATCCAGACCTTTCATAATCTTTAGAAACACTTAAACTTTAACGGAAGTTTTAAGTCAATCTTTGTTCACTCTTAAAAGCTTAAAAAGTTTCAATAAATATTTACTACCGAGTCGAAGACCCTGGCAGCTTGTGCTAAGTTTTCTTACCTTAATTATCAGATTTTATATTTTGTAATCAATTATAATAAAATAAAAAAAAAAGTTAAAAATATAAATTACTGTAATATGTGGAACGTTAACCATGTTAACACCATTTTTACTTAAAATATGCAATTCTTTGTATAAACATCAGCCTAAAAGATACTTTAAATATTTCATAACTATTCAAAATGCTTGCTTAATGTACGACTACATTTTGTCCCATGTTGTGTTCTGTGAATCCGTGTATTATTTTAGGTGTGTCATATTTTAGGTTCTATATCGTTTTCAAAAGTTAACGGCCTTTTTTTAAAATATCTATTTTTTAAAAATAATCATTGTCTATAAAAATAGCTTACAGGGATATCTCGGATAATTGTAAGCAGACGACCTCGCTAAGTCAGGCGATCTTCAAAATACCTGAGCAAAAATACCTGAGCAAAGCCAAGCAATACTGTGCTGATGAACCTCATTGTTAGATATCTAGATTGAATTAATGTAATTTAGACAAGAAACGAACTAGTCAGCTGCTTCAACTAAGACGGAACCTGCTCAGCATCACGGTAACTGTGCTGACGAGACAGTACGAAATAGGAAGGCATGCTATGAGACTGGGTCTACCCTATAATGAGTTTAATCGAGATTGTGGCTCTGAGGATGAGGAGACGACCGTGGTCCGTTTCATGTGTCAGTGCCTTAGCTAGAAGAAGATTAAAAATCTTCGGATCCCCTCTTCTCTTCTATCTGACTGAGCTATCATTCTGTAATTTTAAGGACCTGGCCAAGTTTATAGAACTGTCAGGTTGGTTTTTCTTTATGGGGAAGTCGTTATCTTTTTCGGCGTAGGCTGTATACTGATTTAAATCTATGTACGTACCAATGCTATTCCTGTGGTACCACAATGGGCCATCATTTGAGTTAAAAATTCTTTTAATAGTAAAAAATTGATCGAGCAAAGAACCGTTAAACATCACTTATCCAAGTTTTTTGTCGATAAATCACAAATCCGGGTAGTTCTATAGCTACCCGGCATTATGAAGCTACCAGAAAAATGATAAAAGGTCATAAATAATAATGTATTAGCTATAATTGATGAATTAAATACAGATAATTTTTGTTTAAAAAGTGCTCCAAAAAAAAACCGTTGATAATTTTGGCTTATATCACCCAGCATAAAATTTTCAGTTTGCACAAATATGTAATCACGGTTCAAATGAGACTTTATTTTAATCACGTATAAACGGCTGTTAAGTTTCTATGTGGTAAATCTACAATTTAACGACTAAAATAAATCTTTAATTATAATTACTTAATTCTAAACTTAATCTCATAGTGTAAACATGGTATAAATATTTATTTATATTATTAAAATATATATTATGTAATATATATATATATATATATATATATATATATATATATATATATTAATCTTTGTCCCATTCTTAAACATTCTGTGTTTTCATTATAATTTCTAAGTGTACAATATTCCGTTTCTATTTTCTGTTTTTCACAAACATTTATTAAATATTCATATAAGAACAAATTTTAAAACTTATTGTTTGGTTGTTTGCTATTAAATTTATTTCAGTAAAAAAAATTTATTCATTTATATTTTTATATTATTTTAAAAACATTTTACTAATATGTATGT